TGACTGATCTATAATGATAGTATAAAGCTGAAGAGTGAACTACAGACTCGAATTGAAAGTCTTTTTATGGTTGGAGCAATTATCGAGGCAGGTCTGTAAAATATTACGCTGCGACTAATAGAAGCGAAGAAAAAGAGGAAAATGGGGAAGAAACGGGAAAAATAATTCTTTGAGGGCTCCCGTCGCGTGCGCTGCTAAAACGGTTCAAGAAACAACTTAAATGATCCAAAACGCGAACGACGTCGTGGGTAACAGCTATAATAAAGCTGAGAAGGTAGTTTGCAAAAATAAGTTAAATAATGCCCAAAATAACTATTCTACGCGTGTAATAAATAATTTATAATTTTTATATAGTTTCTATGACTTGAATCAGGACGATAATAATATTCATATTTATTTTGCGCACACCCTAAACTGCTAAACTATGGTTTCATTAAGTTTTTCGAGTGTTGCTAGATTGGAAAACGTTAGTTCTTATTTAATTTAAGTTGGGATTGCAATTTGAGTTTTCAAATTAATAGCGAGTTCAAATTTTATTTATAAGACGAAGGCTTTGACTCATCAATAATTATTCAATGTTTATCATTCACAAATTTATTATAACAGTAAATACTGTCTATAGTTTACGCGAGTAGTACACGTTTAACGGTTTAAAACCCAAAATTTCGACCCACACGCGAGACACTCCCCGTGACCACAGCTGCAAAGCATCCGAAACGTCGGGCCGGGGTTAAATCATTTTCAAGTAAGTTTAACTAACATATCGAGTTTTAAACCGTTAAAGTGTTTTATTTAAATTAACAGTATATATTTTGAACGATACCTGGACTGGATGGTGGATTTGGTGATCAGGATACAATTTTGATACCACTCCTTCAGCCATTATATGTCTAAACAATCTAAATAAAACAGTTTTAGACAGTTTGAAATGCGAAATTTATTAGTGCACTTATTTTTTTCGTATAAAAGTTTTTTTCCCCCCCCCTTTTTTTTTCCCCCCCCCCCACCGGAACCCCCCAAAAAACCCCCCCCCCCAAAAAATTTTTTTTCAAAAAAACGGGGGGGGGGTCTCCTAAAAAAAAAAAGAGAGGGAGTGGAAAAAAAAAAAAGTATTATAGCATGTACCCACAACTCGTGAAAACTTCGCACAATATGTGAAATCTAATTACAAACATGGTATGAATCGTTACTCACGACCCGTTGGTTATGTTACCGGTAAATTGCTACCACTAGACCAATCTACCAGAAGACAGACATTCCTTAGTTCAAATAAGGTTTTCAATATTAAGCGCTGAATTTGCCGCCAAAAAGCCATGTTTCAAATAATATTTCCCCAATGCAGTTTCCCGCCAAATCCGCCATATTGGTGACGTCATAGTATATGTCCGCTATAGCAGATATTATCTTTTACGAGTATTGGCTCTGCTCGATCCATGAATTAATTTTAATACCATCAGCGAAATGTGAAATATTATGACGGTTCTGGTTTTAAAGTTTCATTTTATAGCAAAAGGGGAATAAAAACTCATGAATTATTGGTTATGTCAATTCTCAAATATTTAAGTAGTAGTAGTCATTTAATATCAAACCGAATATCAAACGCCAAAATAGGCCGACAGCGCATTTTGTGAAGATGTTATATCGCTGGGGTAATTCGCCTCCCATCGAGCGAACCCCTTGCTTGTCCTCTATCAATAAAAAAAAACTGATAAACATTACATAAATAACAATCCAGATATAAATAAAACACTTTAACGGTTTATAACTCGATATATTAGTTGAGTATTAGTATTAGTAACTAATATATCGCGTTTCAAACCGTTAAAATGTTTTATTTTAATGTGTACTACGCGTAAACTATAGACAGTATTTAACAATACAGATAATTTCATGTGCATTCTCGTGACTACGGGGCATCGGAATTTTTTGCCGTAGTTGAAACAATTTAACTATTATATTTCGCATTTTAAAACCGTTTAATTTCATGTTAGTCATCTTATTGAACAGCTTAAATTCTCATAATAAATCAAGGTTTGACAGGCTCGTCGGTGTAATGGTAGCATCATCTACGGGTCGTGGCTTCGATTCTTACATACACTTAAATCACGACTGATCCAACGTGAAAAGTGTTACTTAGATTTCAAATCTTTAAAAAGTCTACGAACTTTGCCGAAGGTAAAATAATCACGCAACAATTGAAAACGTTTTTTTTTTTCCCCGAAAGCCTAAAGGAAAATAGAATTTGAATATTTTGCTGAATTCCATCGTAGTTTTGGAGTTGAATCGAAGCCAAAAGTAATTGCTTTCAGTTTTCCGACGATAGTCGTTTTTCAGGGCTCGATGAACTCACCTATGGATTACAACTAGTCTAAAATTTGGCAGTTGTAAAAATCGCTGTATTACTTAGTACTACTGTACGGTGTACTGTGTGTTTACCTTTTAATGGTTTAAAACACGAAATATATTAGTTGACTTACAATTTACGTCCAGACGTTTTCTGCTTTTTAAAAGCATTACGGGGGGACTAATAATGGTTTTTACGCGAGTAGAAAACATTTAAATAAAATATTTTTAACGGTTTGAAACACGAAAAAAAGTGTTTTTAATGTATATTAACACGTGCTTCAACGACTGCCGCTAGACACTTAAAAATTTAAGTCATATATTTCGCGTTTTAAACTAAAATACGAAATTTATATGAGTTATTGAAAATCTGTTTCATTTTTAACTTTGAAATAAACGTCTATAGCCGTGTTGTAATTTTATCAAATAATCGTAAGATGGAGGAAGAAAAGACAATACAGATTGTCAAGTTATTTTACACTATATATAATACTGCGCAATACTTGAATATTGTTTTTACCTCAGTAGTGATACCTTAATATTGATAATCAAATAAATTCGTGTGAAAAGTTTCCATTATCATTCCAAACTAAACAAAAATGCGCAACGTTAATTTTCAAGTTTTTAGTGAGATGTGAGTGAGATTTGTTGTTTATATACACACACATTTTTATTTCACAAAACAAACCAGACCCAATCTTTCATCTAGCCGACAACCGCTCCGCGAGTTCGTGATTATTACAGAAATTATTTTTTATTGCAAACATAAATTTTAATTGCGTTATAACGTTACTGCTGTGCGGTTAGGGTTCTGTCAATTTTTATGGAAGGCAGACATTTTTCTGTACCTCTTTATGACGGAGCACAGACAAGCATGTGAATCACTTGATGGTAGTTGAAATAATATATAGCCATATGAGTGTTGTAAACTAATTGTAACTATATAAAAAAAAATATATAAGAGTAAAAACGCCGTGTGCGTTATAGTGTACATATTTCATAGTAGTGTTATTTCAAGTCAATTAATTAAAGTTAGACTGTTGCAAATCAGCACGCTGGTTTTATTATTGAGATCTAAACGAAATGCGCTAGTATAATTTTGGATATTTTGAAATCCACAGACTAATACAAAACATGACTATTTAAAAATAACTAAAGAAATTCACAATTGCATTATTAAATTTTGCAATTTACAATTCAATGCTTTGAACACCACAGACTTAAACCGAAAAGCGATTAAACGGCCGTTTTATCTGTGGCCAGTGGTTTGTGATCCAGGCACAATTATATATCTACCAGCCTTTTAATATCCAGTTTTGCCAGACAAAATCATGCTATTTCAGAAAAATACGAGTCTGTCCGTTTTCACCGCGGTTGCTTGGAAGAGATAGCTATAAGACACCGTTTGTTAATTTATTTTATTTAGCGTCATGTTCTGTTTCTTGGTTCCTTTGAGAAAATTTGTATAGTATGTTTCGTGAACATACTAGCATTTGAATTTCGTTATACGGAACCCTCATTCAAGAGACTGGTTGGAGTTTAATTATTTACGAGTTTGGTTTTTTATCTGCGAATATGCATACGACACGGCGATTCCAACGATCGATATACACGTTAATATTGGTGATAAAGCTGATTTTGTGTGCACAATCGAATTTAATTATTATTTTATATTGCTTTAAATTACAATGAACCGTAATTAATTGGTAAATTATAAATAATAATGAAAGAGATACGTGAGATTATGAAATTAAGCTTATGAAACAAATGATTTAATAAAACGCGTTAGTCAATATTTTATATTTTGAAGTGTACCTACACTTTAAAGAAATTTACTGACTATTAAAACATATTCCACTTATTATTAAAACATAAAAAAAAACAAAACTTTATTTAATCTTAACAGATAATGCTGTGATAATAGAGGAGTACAAACAATAATGTGGTTCACTCCTGTACGGGACTGTATAGCGTACACTAAACTATATTATAACCGGTTGTCTTGATGGTTTGGAAATAAAACTACCAGTACGTTGCCGCTAACGAATATGTCGCTATGCCACGACATCCGATTGCCACGCTACTGTTACGCGCCTATATCGTGCGCACAAAGTATGGAAACGAAAAGTCTAAACGGCCGCGTTAACTATCTATCAATACGATGCGAAGTACTTGCGACGCGAACCGTGAGAGGAGCGGCGTCTATGGGCAAAGTACTCGCGATGCGTGCCGTGTCGATGTTAGAAGCGAACTGGTTTGACCCGCTCCCAGAGCTCTCTTTTATGGTAACATCATTTCAGTCACAAGAGAGAAATGGGATGCAGGTATTGAGTGCGGAATGGGCCGTAGCGGGGCGTCGGGTTCGTGGAAAGCAAACACTTTATTATTTTAAAGAACTTACTTAAACTAATGGCATGGCAATCTCTCACATTTGTTAACGCTTAAAACAATACGTCTGTAACCAATAAACTATCCCTTTACAAAGTGGATACAATACAAGTGGCCTTTCTAGTATTACAATTTATGACCCAAAGTTTTGTTAACGTTTTTATACACACAAAGGACGCCATGCACATGTTCTTATACATCTAACATATTTTACCTAAAGTCAAAGAATATTTATTTATTTATTTATATGCTAGTTCTCAATAATATTACTATGCTTTAAACCTAACGCGAGCTGTCCGGAACATTCTCCCGCCGTGCGTCGCTCGGTTGTCTTTGACCGACGACGCATCGTCTCCATGGTGAAGGATGGCTCCGTTAGTTGGTAAAATAATTGGTTTTCTAGCCGGCCGTTCTGGGATGCTCTCAGTTATTGGATCCGCTACTTTAATATCACCCTCTTGACTTAGGATTGTGTCAGCGACTATGTCATATGTCCACTTCTTGTAAGGAAGGCAATTGTCGCTTGTAAAGTCCACAAAACCTATCTTTACTTTTCCCGTGTCGTGGGGCTCCCGCCGGTACTGTACCTGCACACGAGAGTTTTGCTGGATCCTTTCCTTGCTCGAGTACGCTTTCCACTTACGGACCATTTCTTCTCGTTTCCAATTGGAACGATGTTTGCTAGAAAGACATTTTAATAGCTTCAGTCTTTTCCTCTTTACGATCATATAAACTCTGTTTTTCCCCTTTGCACGTTGTCCAAACACGTTTATTCCTTTAGTGCGTATTATAATTTTCCCGATTGACTCTTGTGTGTGACGTTTAATAACCATGCTATTTAATTGCCTTCTTATTGGACTCTTGACTATTGGCTTCAGTTGCAAATTGGGACGCTTCACTTGATCATCGTTTATAGAGACGCTTTTATAAGTTGTCGACGTATCGGCGTGACCTGTGCGAACTTTTAGAGGTGTAGCTTGTTCCACGATTGCGATGTTATTTACGTTACTAATTGCGACATCTTCAACAAGATTCTTATTGGTATCAGTGTTTATTTTTATTTCTTGTTCGTATCTCGTTTCGAGTTCTGAAATACGATCTAACTGTATTCCAACCGCTTGCTTACTTTTGTGAGCGATGTTGTAAGTTTCAGGAGGGCTGTGATTTTTCATTGTCGTTTCGAAAATCCCATCTACTTCTTGATGCGTCTGCTGTTCGAGAAGATCTTGCGCCTTTTCGTTATTCACAGTATTATGGTTTTCGTCACAAATAACACATTTGTCACACACTTTTAGGTCTTTGGTTACGTAGCCTTGTTGCAACTTCGCTTGAGGTTTTTCTTTCATTTCAGTCTCGTAGGCTCGTTGAAACTTTATTTGCGGTTTCTCAGACACAAAATTGGATTCGGGACGAGCGAAGGGTGCACAGTTTTCTGCCTCTATGCATAAAAATCGCTTCAACTTTAGAAGATCTGCTTCTTGTTTTGGTTGTTGCGCTGCATACGCGAAGAATCGATGTTGCAGTGTCGGCGATAACTTCTCTACTGTAGATCTGGTAATTTCTGGGTTGTACAAATAATATATTTTTCCTAAAGCTTCCAGACTACATACTATATTGCAAAATGTAGTTGTAAAAATGCAGAGATCTCGTGGCGCGATGCCTGGTTTTGGCAATTTTTTTAACGTTTCCAATTCAGTAATTGCGATTGCGTCGGGTCGGCCGAAACGAGACTCTAATGATTTCATAATCTTTAGAGGGTCACTTTGGTATATAAGTAAGTTTTTTACAGCTTCTTTCGCCTTTCCTACTAGGCATCTTCGGAGGCGGGCCATATTTTCTACATCCGTCATGTGTCGTGCTGTTTGCATATATGCCGCTTGAAACGCAAGCCACTCACTATGTGATCCGTTGTATTTCGGGAGATCAAGACTATGATTGCACATTGTATTCTTGGTTGCTGCTATGATCACAGAAGCCAGCTTGGAGATGTCACTTTCATTTGCTTGTGACGTTATATTTCCCGAAAACGGTGGCGAAGTTGTGGCAGTACTGGTTTTCACACCTGACGGATCTTCGTGCAGGGTGTTTCCTTCCAACAAAGATAATTTCCGCCGTAGCTTCAAATACTCCAAACGCAGTTGGAGGAGTTCTTCTTCCTTTGACTGTTCTTCCATATTTAAAACAGGCGAAGTCGAACGTGTGCTGATATGTGAGATGTCGGCGAGTGCGTACATATTTGCGGTGCGATTCGTCCCCGAAAGGTAGCTCACTTGCAACTCTATTGGAGCTATACCTCATCGGGCTATGCGAATCTCTTGCAGGGGGCTTCTTCACTATAGCCACCCTGACACCACGGTGCGGCTGTGCCAAAAGGCATTTTAACAATCACAAACTAATCAAAACGATCCGGGCCGAAGGACCATTAATGTACGGGACTGTATAGCGTACACTAAACTATATTATAACCGGTTGTCTTGATGGTTTGGAAATAAAACTACCAGTACGTTGCCGCTAACGAATATGTCGCTATGCCACGACATCCGATTGCCACGCTACTGTTACGCGCCTTTATCGTGCGCACAAAATATGGTACGGAAAGTCTAAACGGCCGCGTTAACTATTTATCAATACAATGCGAAGTACTTGCGACGCGAACCGTGAGAGGAGCGGCGTCTATGGGCAAAGTACTCGCGATGCGTGCCGTGTCGATGTTAGAAGCGAACTGGTTTGACCCGCTCCCAGAGCTCTTTTATGGTAACATCATTTCAGTCACAAGAGAGAAATGGGATGCAGGTATTGAGTGCGGAATGGGCCGTAGCGGGGCGTCGGGTTCGTGGAAAGCAAACACTTTATTATTTTAAAGAACTTACTTAAACTAATGGCATGGCAATCTCTCACATTTGTTAACGCTTAAAACAATACGTCTGTAACCAATAAACTATCCCTTTACAAAGTGGATACAATACAAGTGGCCTTTCTAGTATTACAATTTATGACCCAAAGTTTTGTTAACGTTTTTATACACACAAAGGACGCCATGCACATGTTCTTATACATCTAACATATTTTACCTAAAGTCAAAGAATATTTATTTATTTATTTATATGCTAGTTCTCAATAATATTACTATGCTTTAAACCTAACGCGAGCTGTCCGGAACAACTCCATTGTAGGTGAAATACCAAGCTATATAACAATTAAACAAGTTGCACTGTTAAGTTATATTGACTTTGGATCGGAAAGCTACGTTTTATCTGTAGACGGTGGTTCGTGACCCAAAAGAAATGTCGATATTCCTGCCACCGATTTGATATCCAGATATCCAGACGGAGGCTTACGTAATTCAGAAAAATTATAAATTCACTAGTTGTGCCAGCGACTTGGTTCGCGAGAATCGTTATTTTAGGCATCCAAATTAGTTTTTGCAAACCCCGTCATCTTTATAAACTTAAGCTGTTAGCCACGACGTCGACCGCGTCCCTTCCCGTCGTTCTTAAAAGTTAATCTCAAAAGATAGACATATAGCGTCGTGAACTTTTTTTCAGACCATTTAAAGAGGAATCATTCTTTCATAAAATTTTTTTAGTTATCTTTAACCGTTTTCGCAGCGTACGCATCTAAAACCCACAGGGATGGAAAATTTCGCCCGTTTTGTTCACATTTCCCGTTGTATCTTCGCTTCTATTAGTCACAGCGCAATATTTTATAGCCTATAGCCTTCCTCGATAAATGTTCTAACCAACACAAACACAAATAATTTTCTATTCGCACCCGTAGTTTTTGAGCATTGCTACCATTACACCAACGAGATCGTCAAAAGATGTATCAAAAACAACTTAATGTGATTTGATTTTTTTTTCTTATTATAATTATTTTAATTATTTAATGGACCTACTAGTTAGATTGCCAAAATATTTTGCTGCTTGACTGTCGTTCGTATAGCTGCAACGATCTTGCATTTCGTTCTTCAAGACTGAACTGAACTTTCGACGCTAGATTCTCTGGCTCGCGATTGGGACGCGTACACTCTAATACTTTCCAGACGATCATTTTCTAAAAAAGACTCTCCTATACGACGAACTTTTGCTAATCTCGCCTTCTTCTTCTAGGCATATTGCTATGAAGGTTATTTATTTTAAATCAGAGAAATTAAGAATACACTATTACAATAGAAAATGACTAAGTTCAAAGAGATAGTTCTGAAAAGAACTTTGACAAATATTATGCAAAGTGTGATTCCTAATACTAAAAATAAGTAGCTTTTAAAGAACTTTTTAAGGTAAGCATCAAAATGTAAAAAAAAATCGAAATATTCAATGACGTTCGCGCCCACATATTTTTATTTTAATTTCATGATATCTTTTGAATGGAATGTCCGATTTCAATAATTAAAAAAGTTATCATCGGGTATTGAGACAGTCTTGAATATTAAATTATTTATTTATTTAAACATTATAAACGGTATGGATAACACGGTCTAATTTTGATCAACATTTCCATCAATTTGTTATATGTAAAAAAGTAGTTACATTGACGTAACTACAATAGTTAGACATATGGTCTCGATGTTTTTTTGTAAATATTGATATATTCTATGATATTGTCGAACATTTTTTCGTCCCATCAGAAATACTTTTCGCAGCGTATGCGATGGAAGATATTTTATAACTAACTTTTACACCTCCCGTTCTTATTCCATCTAGTAGGTATAGTCTATGTTACTTTATTTAGATATAGATATTTTAGCTTAAAATATAATATTATTACAATCGGTCCAGTACTTTTTGAGTTTATCCTTTACATTCAAAAATACAGAAGTACAGAAGTACAAAAGTACAGAAGTATAAAAGTACAGAAGTGCGGAAGTAAAGAAGTGCAGAAGTAAAGAAATACAAATATCATATTAGTACAGATATCAGAAACTTGTGCTTCCCCTGAATCCAAACCACGGACTTGCGATGCCGACAAATTTTAACTCGTGAACTTAACTCTACAAAGCATCTTAAACAAGACTAATAAATATAAGCTTGCCCAAGCGTCCCAGTAATTAATAATTCCCTTTTGTTTTGTCCAAGAGCAGACTCGAGGTGAAAGACAAACACACATCGATTTATCATTGCCACGCCGTGTGTACCCTTCGACGAAGATAGACTAATTTATCGAAATCATTAGTATACGTAACAAAAAAGGTTATTCTTGAATGGAACTTGATTTAGTTATTGAAACTGGAATTAGATTTATGTATAAATAAATCACATTAATGGTTTAAAACGCGATATATATTAAATAACGACTTCGACGGCGTAGATGGCGCTAGTGTAGCAGTTTTTTACTTTGACGTTCAGACACCCTCCATCTTTAGTCTCCCCGTGACCACGGCTGCTGCAAAGCATTCGAAACGTCGGGCCGTAGATAAAATGAGTTGAAGTAATATATATTTCGTTAAAACGGTTTAACAATCGTTAAAGTGTTTTATTTAACTGCAGTTAATAGACAGTATTTAGATTTATGTGTGTTTGTAGCATTAGTCAGGACTGAAATTTGAAATCCTGTATGTTAAAATAATTTTCAAATTAGTTTAACTAATATATATTGCGTTTCAAACGTTAAGTGTTTTATAATATATACATACATAGTTAATTACTTTAGTAACTATCTAACCAATAAGCAGTTTTTAATTTATCATAAAACTCTTATAAACTTATTAACAACAAAGACCTCCTTCTTCTTTGAAGACCAGAATACTATTGATAAAAAAAGGCGGCGAGTTTTTCGCCAGTTCTTCGCGTTTGTTCTAGACTTGTTAGTATGAGATCGAGTTACTTTCATGAGTATTATTTTCGATGATTCTATAAAATTTTACTCTGTACTAACTAACACCTACGTTTCAAAAACTTTACGAATTTTAAGTAATATCGCTATGAGCAATTTTATTTATAAACTTAACTTACAAATAATACAATGACTGTTACAATTTGAAAAAAACAAGATAACCATTAAATGAAATATTTTTAAACGGTCTGAAACACAATATAAGTAAGTAAATTTTAAATAAGACGTAATTTCCGATTGTTTACAACAACCGTAATTAAGGATTTCATATTTCGCAATTAAAACCAAGCAAGTACTTAATGTACAGACATTAACTTAGTTTCAAAGTTTACACAAGTAACACACATTTAAACAAAACACTTTAAACGGTTTAAAACGCAAAATGTATTAATTAACTTAGTCACGGTTTATTTTAATAACTCTAGGGTAGCCTATTTTTGACTTTGACGTTAGAGACACTCTCCATCATCAGGCCCCTTGTGACCGCTGGTGCTGCTAAGCATCTAATACGTCGGTCGACCGTAATAATAAATTGTAGTTAACGATTTAAAACCTTTCGCGTTTCAAATCGTTAAAATTATTTAATTTCCTTTAACACTCGATCTATAGATTATACGTAAATCAGTCATAAGAAGTAATAAGTACTTAAAATTTGCATCGTAATCGTCGTAAACAACATTTTTACTTCAAACGTTTTTTTTCGAAGTCTGTCGCACGCGCTGCTATAGTTACAAAGGTTGATTCGGTGTCAAAAATCCTCCATCGATTAATTTTGTGTAACTGAGTCGGGACAAATTAATCGCATGTCATAGGACCCCTATAGCCCTCAAACCCCATTTGTACCTATATCCTATCTTCAGTATCCTCCCAATTTAAACTGATGGATTTTATGTAATTTGATAAATTTTGATTATAACCAGACTTTCCCCATCATTAAGATGATAAGTTACACATGTGTCGACCTCATAATAAATTGGGACAGACTGTACAAAAATCTAGATCAGTCATATAAAATTGATATCTAAATATTGTCCATAGTTTATGCGAGTATATTGTTAAATAAACCATTTTAACGGTTTGAAACGCGGAATATATTATTAATAATGATACAATTTATTCATTTAAAAATTGCACTAAAGGAGAAACTTTGAACTTAATAACTTTACTAAGACAAATTGTATAAATATATAAGGCATAATATAGTAACAACTAGTATTATAAATATAAAACTATGCAAAAATCTTGATTCCAAAAAACCGGAATACCAACAACACGAGAGGACCAAGCTAGTTACTGCGACGACGAAACAGATGGCGCTAGCGTAGCAGATTTGGACTTTGAC